GTAATCCCAGCACTTTGAGAGGCAAGGTGAAAGGATTGCTTGAGTCCAGGAGTTTGAAACCAGCCTGGGCGACATAGCAAGACCCTGTCTCTATTAAAAAAAAAAAAAAAAAAAGCCAGGCATGGCACATACCTGTAGTCCTAGCTACTCAGGAGGCTAAGGTTAGAGGATTACTTGAGCCCAGGAATTCAACATTTCGGTGAGCCATGATCATGCTACTGCACTACAGCATGGCAACAGAGTGAGGCCCTGTCTCTTAAAAAGGTGGGGAGCGAGGCAGGTGGCTAATGGAGAAATCAGACTCCCCATTTCAGGATATAGCAAAATAAAGAACCAGGAGCAAAACTGGCCTGCACATTCCAAGTGGACATACGTTGGGGGAGGATGTGGCCTCAGGGTTTGTGCTGATATAATCTCTGAGTTTCAAAAGTCTTATCTCCTTTGTGATTTGAACTTGCTGAAGTACTGCTAGTGCTAAATTGAATGGAAAAAAAGTGTATAATGGTAGTTTAACTAAAGATGGTGGTCTAGTCTTGCTTCTCCACAAGAAGAGAGCCTCCATTTATTTTCCTGAAAACTGTTTCCTACTTGGCCAGGAGACTTAGTGAAGATATATCAACTAGAACATTCTAGAGGTTCTCAATTTGAAATCTCTATTTATATTCTATATTCACTTTATCTTAGTGGTAGTAGATCAAGAAAACTTTCCCTCTTGACTTTGTTAGTAAAAAATGTGGTGGGACTTAATGTTTGTTGGAAACCTTCCTTATTCTTTTTTTTTTTTCTTGTGAGATGGAGTCTGGCTCTGTCACCAGGCTGGAGTGCAGTGGTGCGATCTTGGCTCACTGCAACCTCCGCCTCCCGGGTTCAAGTGATTCTCCTGCCTCCGCTTCCTGAGTAGGGACTACAGGCACGCGCCACCACGCCCAACTAATTTTTGTATTTTTTTAATAGAGACAAGGTTTCACTATGTTGGCCAGGATGGTCTCAATCTCCTGACCGTGTGATCTGTCCGCCTCGGCCTCCCAAAGTGCTGGGATTACAGGCGTGAGCCACTGCATCCAGCCTTATTCTTATTTTTAGCCTTATTTTTTTTGAGATGGAGTTTTGGTCTTGTTGCCCAGGCTGGAGAATGTCGTGATCTCGGCTCACTGCAACCTCCGCCTCCTGGGTTCAAGAGATTCTTCTGCCTCAGCCTCCTGAGTAACTGGGATTACAGGCATGCATCACTATACCTGGCTAATTTTGTATTTTTAGTAGAGATGGGGTTTCTCCATGTTGGTCAGGCTGGTCTTGAACTCCTGACCTCAGGTGATCGCCTGCCTCGGCCTCCCAAAGTGCTAGGATTACAGGCGTGAGCCACTGCGCCCAGCCTAATTTTGTGTTTTTAGTAGAGACGGGGTTTCTCCATGTTGGTCAGGCTGGTCTCGAACTCCCAACCTCAGGTGATTTTAGAAAATCCTTCCTGGAATTTTCCCAAAGTGCTGGGATTGCAGGTGTGAGCCACTGCTCCTAGCCCCTTATTCTTTTATTACATCTCAACAAATGGAATAGCCAGTTAGGCAAAATTAGAAACAGATTCAGCTGAGAAAAACATTAGTACAAGATTACTAACTGGAGCCCTTTCCCTAGATACTGTTACTTATAAATTGTAGGTATATGGTACGCTAGAAAGAAGAAGGGGTCCTAGTATTCTTGACCTGATTATTTGAGTGAAGTGATTAAAATTTACTAGTGTTTTTAGCTAAGGGTTCTGATGATCCTTCTTCCTTCTGAATTAAGCACTTAATTGTCCTACTGTTCTTCCAAAGAAATACTTAAGTGAGATACCTTGAGGAGGTGGTAAAGCTAAGAAAGTGGATTGCTGAGTAAAATGTCCTGGATTCCAATCCTCGTATTATTTGTGAAATTTTGGGCGAGTCACTTAATCTCTCCAAGACTCAGTTTTCCTATCTATGGAATGAATTTAATTATAGTGCCTACTCCATGGGATTATTATAAGAAGTAAATGATGCCAGGTACAGTGGCTCACACCTGTAATCCCAACACTTTGGAAGACTGAGGCAAGAGGATTGATTTGAGCCCAGGAGTTCAAGACTAGCCTGGGAAACATAGCGAGACCCCCTCTCTGCAAAAATGAAAATAAAGTAGTAAATGAGCCTGGGTGCGGTGGCTCACGCCTGTAATCCCAACACTGGGAGGCTGAGGTGGGTGGATCACCTGAGGTCAGGAGTTCGAGACCAGCCTGGCTAACATGGCGAAACCCTATCTCTACTGAAAATGCAAAAATTAGCCAGGCGTGGTGGCGTGCACCTGTAGTTCCAGCTACTCAGGAGGCTGAGGCGGGAGAATTGCGTGAACCTGGAAGGCAGAGGTTGCATTGAGCCAAGATGGCACCACTGCACTCCAGCCTGGGTGACACAGCGAGACTCTGTCTCAGGGGAAAAAAAAAAAAAAAAGTAGTAAATGAGATACTGCATGTAAAGAACTACACACAGTACCTGGTACATACTAAGCACTCATATGTTAATGGCTATAGTGTTATTTTAATTTATTATTATTGAGGACAAGAATACTTCTTTTTTTCTTTGAACCTGGCTTAATGTTTTTATAATAGTTTAGAGTACATTAATGAGGTACCCATTGTGGATTTGCTGGTGGTCATAATGAGAAAGGCA